AACAAAGAGACAAAGTAATTGATGAAAATCCAGTAAAGTGTTACCTGTAGCTAATGGAGGAACTAAAGGCTTCTTATATCCCTTGAGTAGAAAACCACTTTCTCGTAACACAGCACATGTGCCTCTTGGATTTTCTGCTGCATTGCTGGTCGTGATTGTCAATGTTTGATCCTTGAACCTGACTACAGAAGATGATGATAAGCCTATTGAGAGTATACAAACTGCCCAAAGTGCTGCCAGAACCCCCCTACTGAAAACCTTTCCACTCATGAGGAAGAAGTGATACGATCAAAGTTTGGCTTTCACACCTGAGCATCATCCCCCGTGGTATTCTCGGGAATTGAAGTCCTGTTAGTGAAGCCGACCTAATACCTTCCGTGCCCCTTGATATCACCGTGTGGCTTGGGCTAATGCAAGTCCTTAGATCCGTCGCTCATCAGGTCTGGAAATGATCACCAGCCATCACCGGATTCCGAATGCCGGTCCCACTAACTACTTCCTTAGGTAAGACTACTTATTCAATAAGACACGCAAGCCACAGAACATCCTGGGAGTCACTAGCTACTTCTGAGTGATTCTTTTCTTCTAAATATGCTGTATGAATTCGCTACGTAATGAGGATATGATTGATTGGATAGGATTTGACCATGGGCAAACAGAACTTCTTGGTTGGCGTTTCTATAGCATAAACCGGCTTGTTTTCAGCTCGGATGAAACTACCCTTCACCAACCGCTCTAACAATCCTGGTTCATCTTTAAAGCGCCTGGGAATCCTCCATGTCATGGCATCTTGGCTACTTATATAGTGATAGCATGAGTGCAAGACTGATTGATAATCCGAGCTATGAGGAATACTTCAAAGATTTGCCAAGCCAACACATTGCGGTGTCCCAGATGACTGGATTCAATTCGGAAATCGACTCTTTAAACCTTGTAGACTTATTAAGCGTCATTCATAATTGCAATATTGTTGGCTCTATGTATAGTGTCCAGGAGCTTCCGTGTCTATTCAGTGGACATGAGACTCAAGCTCCATTCTATATGGTTTACCTATGCAGCGAGTGTTATACAAGCTTACTCGACGCATAAATACTTCCTTCAAATATTACTGGTACCCAGGTCCTTCATTCTCGGCGGTACTCGAGAGTCAACCATCAAGTCATTCAAAGCCAAGTGCAACTCCAAGATGTTGATATCAGCTCCTCAACAGAATATCTCAACCTTGAACCATTTCGGTGTCTTTGCCCGAAGTATCTGCAGCCACCTTCAACTATTTCATCAAAACAATAAATGAGATCCTCAGCGGTAGGATTAAATCCTGTTTTCATATTTGGTCAAAGGTTGAGGGCAGATCATTGGCTGAGTAGTGGTACCAGATCCGGCAAGTGAACTATTCAGGGGTTCAAGGACACAGAATGTCTCAACCAGGGGCGGCCCAGGTGCGCGTTTATGCATTAGCATCTGATTTGAAAGCTGGATGTTCCTTAACTTGGAGGAGATTGATTTTGTATCATGTCAAGCAGTGAACTTTAGCAGAAACCTTTCTTACAGGTGATATTGTTAGTATGCATATCTCTCACATAAAATTTACCCCACTTGAGCGTTCTCACTCAGCCTTGTTATGACAAAATGTTCGTGAATAACACGAAAAAAATGAATCTATGCCATCAGTCACGTATTGAAGGAACTGGAGTGATTTGAAGCCGATCAACGGCCTTTCGCATTTCATAGCTAGTTGATCAATCTGGATCCCGGTTGACACCGCTTAAGCCTAAATAATGCATGAATCCCGGGAATGCGAGTCCAACAGAGTCCAGGGGAATTTCTTCAAGGGTATTCACTGCCCAGATATCGACGACAATAGGATGTCAGGGGTGAACTTCTCCTCGGGGAAGTTCTGTTCACCGCCACTTGCTCGGCATAAAGTCTCAAGAAGACAGCGCTCCACAGCATATCGAGCGCCACCACTTAAAGACGCAAGGACCGTCGTCATGTTTCGAACATAGTCTGGATCAAGCCCTGTGTCGTCCGACGCAGTGAAATGGAAAAACAGAATACTGTTAAGATTCTCGAGAGAATCATGCCAGGACGGGTGGTTTGCTTCGAGGCAGAAGTTGAGCATATTCAAATTATCCAGCCTTTGGAAACCCCACTCCCCTTCCTGGTAATTTCCAGCGTCGTGGGGAGACTCGAAAGGTGATTTCTGCAAGAGAACGCAGATGAACAGCAAGCAAGCAAGCCTGGTGAATTCCAAGTCGCCGCAGAGCTCCGGACGGCCAGCATCCAATTCGTGATCTTGGCGGTGAGCTTTTAGTAGTAAGATGGCTTCGTGAAACGCCGAGTAATGCACCGGAGCGGTCCTCAGGAGGTTCGTTCGGAATGTGCCAATGTCTTGGATGAAAGAAACCAGCCATAGGCTCCGAAGCTTCCTTAGCTCGCTGTCGTTTCTTAGGATGGGATGTAATGGGAGCTCCGAAGGATGGAGGAGAAGCTCTTGGATTTGATTGGAACAGTCGAACCAAGTTGGTCTCGCCATCAATGAGACCCTGACGATGTTAGCATCTCAACAAAAGAGAGGAGAAATGAGAGGCCCACAGGAAGGTCGTTAGCTCAAGCCTCCAATTACTGCTGAGTGCCGCTATGCCACCGCGAGCCTCGACGAGATTCATCAGGCCCGTGTGATGGATGATCCACTCAGCCTCGGTTCCCCAGTACCTCTAAACCTCCTGCCATTAGCATTCTAGATTCAAACGCAGACAGACACTTAGACATACCTCGTAGGTCAAGAGGCGTAGGATCGCAGCCAAGACATCGTCTGACACTGCGCGCTCCGGATCCTGCATCCAGAGCTGAACGATCCTCACCGCTTCGCTCTTGAACTCCAGCGCTACTTCAGATTGACTGAACCCTTGCATCCGAGAGAGATGCGCAGCTGAAAGCGCCATGAGTGCATTGAACGATGCCGGATTAGACAGGTCAAGGGGCAGCCATACGTCGCGCATAGGACTAAAAGCTCCATCAAGGGACGGCCCAAACATCATAGCGGCGTGAGCACTGAACCCTGTTGACGATAAGCACTTGTTTGTTTTGTTGGGGTTGTGGGACTCACAGTGATGTAGGAGCTTGTGGTGTGTCACCGACAGCTTCATGGGCAGTTGCTCGAAAGGGTCAAGCCTGCTCGACCCCAAAGCCAGATTCACCCCTGAAAGTATCTGATTGGGAATGCCTTCCAACTCTGATTGATGTTCGTTGTTGGGTACCAATGCTGTGTCAGATGAAACATTGGTGCTCAGTGCTGAAATGGAGGACTCGGAGTTCTCATCAGACATGGTCGATTGCGTCGTGGGAGTCGGTAATAGCGTATGCTGCGTGCGCTTCTGTCTTTTTTGCTTCTCCTCATTCATCGTCTGTCGTCTATTCTTCCAATGCTCCCGCATAGCATGGCTTCGAAGTTCCCTCTTATTGCTCTCATGTTGAACAAAGGCGAATTCTTTTTGTGGGAGGTTATCGTCACTGGTATTCTGCGATGAGTTAGAATTGGTTGCCATGTTCTTAGCTGAATCATACAATTAAGCACAAAAGCACGCTTCATCATCGTGAACAGAGCCGCATCTTATAACCAATAAAGAGAGAATTCTCAAGCGAAATGAGTCCAGATCTTCTGTGCGTCATCCGGTAATGCCGACTCTTGTTGTTGATGTTTAAGCTCAATGAGGCTCTGAGATAATGCGGATATTGAGTCCCGGCATTCGGTATTCGGATTTGGTGTGTTCTTGTGTCTTCTAGAAGGGGATTATAGTAATACCGGCCCGGGCTGCTCATTGTCGGCCTTTTTTCGGATTCAGCTTGCTAGGCCTCAAGAGCGATAGCTTCAGAATCCGACCGGGCCGGTTCCAACATGAGTCCAGCAATCGATAACGATAGACCTCTTTATCTTATCGATTAGCGCGGCTGATTACATCCTTATCAATTCGTAGAAGGCAGACCCTGAGGCTGTTAACAGGCTGCTGCTATCTCGAGGCGAGGCGGCAGGGACGAGAACACATCACCACTTTACTCGACTATGACGCTGGCGATACCATCACAAGGAGGCAGCAAGCTGGTGAAGGTCGACTAACACTCTATTACGATAACGCACCAGCAACTCTATCACAAATTTAGGGCTGTTACTTAGATGTTCAGAGGGAAACGCTTTGCGTAGCTGACCCTACGCTCTTCGTCTTCTTTTCAAGGCTCAGTAAACCGGACACGCAGGCCAATTATGACTACATTAATCAGTACTTCATCTTCTTTTTCTTGGACAAGTCTGCGAATAGCTTCACCTTAAGTCGAGACCTGCGACTGTGAGGCTTTGACAAGTCCATGAATAAGCTAATCGACTTACACTGACCAATGGTCGAAGATCAATCTCGGTGGGAAAAACCATTAACCCATATAAGTAAGACAAAGCTGTTTTTAGATGTCCATCTGACTTTATTCTCAAGTTATTCCTCTGTTGCAGCTAAACCCGAGAATACGAGAAACGAGTTCTAGGGACAAGCGCCACTTAAAGTCTACCTCCACAGGCTGCCCTTCTGCTAAGAATCATCCGGTAAACAATCCTGAGACTAGCCAGGATGAAAGCCTCATCCAGAAGAAGGGACAGTGAAGACGTAAGGAGAAAGAAGGACAACTTGTTTGGCCATACCATCAGAGAGGTCCCGAATTTTGAGCTCAGATCAACACAGGGACTGCAAAAAACGAAATAACTTGCCCTGAACCATGAGTCTGTCGAAAACACGAACTGTTCCCTATTGTGATATTTACAAATGCTTTATCTATCAAGCTCTATTCTGTTATTCTAGATTTGTTTATTTGCTATTTCCCAAGTCTAGGGTTGAGGCCACTTCGAACTACGCTTCGTGGTGTTTTCCTTCACCTGTAACCGCAAATCTTTCACTATTCCCTCGTTATGCTGTATCAACTCCCCCAGGACCTTCTGAAAGGACGATAATCCCTTATTATTTGGCTTTCTCTTTCTCGACGATATCGACGCGGTATCGCTCTGTGGGGTATTTGGTGCCCAGCTGGCGCAGTGTAATTCGAAGCTGTCTACTTCCGAAGGTAAAGATTCGATAATACTTAAACTCTTCAAGATTTGGATTAGAAAAGGCTCGGAACAGCCGAAGAGCTTTCTTTTTTGACGTACCGACTGGAGACTAAAGAGGTCTTGGCATATCGTGGGCTCAGACTCGAGAGGATGTGTAGGTAGTTCTGATGGATAGCTCAAGCAGTCTTGCACCAGAACACCAGTAGCTTGGGCTTGAGCGGAATTCAGGGTATCCCAAAAAGTACAGAACCACTGATACAGAAGCGCAGGCTCAGTTTGTGCTCTTGATAGATGCTCCTGCTCCGTGGGATATGGTTCCTCGCATGGTGACGAGTATGAGCTCCCAAAACCCGAGTCTAGTAGGGAGGGTGTGGCAATACGCGGTTCGGTAGTGCATCGCTGAGCCGCAGCATGCATGACCTGGTGCCGCAGGTTATAATCGGAGTTAAGAAGTGCCTGCCCACAGCTATACATCCCCGCTGAGAGGAAGTAATCGTAAATCTGGGTATGTAATAAAGCGTGATAGTCCATATTGGAAGACAGCTGGTCAGGGAATGCTTGCTGGGCTGGAAACATGATGCGGCAGTTGAACAATAGAGAGCGTTTAACGACAACGGCAGAACGGGCAGCGGGGGAATGGAGTAAATAGCCCCGTCTCCCCTATTTACCTGTTCCAAGATACCGGTATTCTGAGTGAAATTGGCATTCTTGGTGGCGTGAGCTAAACTTGGCACCTCGCGAGAGAACATTCCGATTGCATCCACAAAGTCCCGCCCCCAGAACAGATCGTGGAGTGTTTTGAGCCGTTGAAACGGGCCATGCGATGAATCGTTTCGCAAGCTACCGCTAACAGCGTATGGATTGACAGTTTTGCCACTATGGAACTTCCAAACTCGAGTAAATTGGGCATAAATGGATGGCTGTGAGCCAATTCCTCCAAGTAACGTTGCCTAACACCGTAGTGTCTATTTTGGCCTTGGAGGCTTAGGTTGGCCGACAACCTTAGTGACAGAAAAGGGGCAAAATGATCAACCGGAGCATGGCCACAGCGATCGTGTCCTACCAGCCTACCTACAAACCCCTCGAGATATCCCTCACAGTGATGGAAACGTCATTGAAGAAGTGATTGCAATCACAAACGCTAGAAGTCTTAACCAAGCGGATAAGGAAGCGAATACTCGGATACTTAGTGTTTTCCTCGCAGTCGGGCCTCACTCACCCCGAAACATGACGTATGTGGCGATATGATTTGGCGCTGTGACAATTTCCTACACGATAGTTGCTTTCAGATGCTATTTTGAGCCGCGTGAGTCGCATGATTAGGTCTGGTCGTCGTCCTTCGCGTGCGCGCTACTGAAGGGTAGAGCTGCCGGATCAGCATCACCATTGGGCGGTCTGCGGCAGTGAGAGCCGGGGTCGCTCGCTAGAACATTTCTGGAATGGTGTCGATCTTTTATAATTACAACTTCGCAACCTAGAGCTGAATGGAGATGGCTTTGCTTTGATGTGTGCTGGTATAAACTCAAAGACACGTACGGATTAGGAAATCCCGTTTCTGCAATGATGAAGTGTTTTGGAGACTGTCGATGATGTGGTGTTTGCTTCCGGTAGATGGCCAGAAGAACTCAATTATGATCCGAGTAGCTCTATGTCGTATAAGGTTTGCGCCTGAGTGAAGCCCCTGATCCGTTTCTTTTCGTTTCGATGTTTCGTTTCATTGGAGCGCCTGAAGATTGGTGGCCAAAGTCATCACATACAGGTCAATTCTGATTCGCCATCCAAATGACAGATAGCCACAGTCCCTTAAGTGGTGAATCGTCGATGGGCTGGCAGCCTATGATTGTATCTTCGGGAAGTGGGAGGACTAGCTGGGATGACTCGCCTTGTCAAAAGCCACTCCGCATAGCGCTATGACTGAACCTTAAAGTTCATCCTAGCTGCCTGATACAGACAGACTAAGCTACTATCATCAGAAGATCTGGAGCTTCCTTTCCGGACCTCCAGAGAATTGGGGATTTCAGAGCCCGCTCTGGACTCTCTGTCCCTTTCTAAAAGGATCCTCTTGTCACCGAAAAATAACGGCTTTGTCGGCCCGATGCGTTACTTGACCATGAATGGCCCATCCTCTGCCTGCTACGCTGCAAGAGTGTTAGCCTGTTGCTTTCTGCCGTCGAAGGCCGCCTATTTAGATCGCCTCTTAACGGGATTCATGAATTTGGGAAGTGCTTCATGTCTCAGCATCAATGAAACTGGGATGATTTTTAGGAAATAATCAACGCGGAATATGAAAACTACAGAGTACAAAGCATATACTTGTTTGATTTCACATCTGCTGTTGATGATATAATACAATCGATCATTGTAAGAACCAGTGTTCCTTTTACCAAAACATTAGCTAAAATCCAGGTTATCATAAGCCTGTCTTTCTTATTATTAATTAGAGTTGCAAAAGTACATAATATACAGTATCGCCAATCGCAGGTTATAGACTGCCTTCATATTCAGGAGGAATTAATGAGTTTACCATGCATATTTTCTCACCTCCCGGGTAGGCTTTAAAGATCCCGTCTCTTGTGACGGTGCGTGGCTTCGTCATCCACCGCCTCTTGACGCTACATCCGCTACTATTTCAAGGATATACTCGGCTTTGAAGTAAACTCTTATTCAGCCGCTTGCATAAAAGTCGACTAGAAATGCTGATGCCCAGAACCCATCCCAAGCGAGGCTCCGATGACATGCAGAAGTGGTAGTAAATACATGTCAGTTTAACCCGACCTATCAAGCCACTTGTTCCACCCCGTTACTCAGCACAGGGGTTGCCCGTAAGGCTGAAAATGGCGATACCTGGTGTCCTTCTTCCACAGTCATGGTTCTAAGGATCATCATTAAAATGGAAGATTTTGGTGCAATAGTCGGTTGTTACTACATCCCTCGCCATCGATATCTTCAACTTCACAACAGCCGAATCGAGGACCGCGGCATCGATGCACGTATGATTCCTCTAAATCACAATGTAGCTCTTCTACAAAATTTACGAATATTCAGCGCTGCAGCTCAATCCGAGCAGATACTGTTCACGGATAAATTCCTTCTCAACGAGAGCTATCTTACACTCCAACCTAGTCTTGATCACATTCACTCTACTATAGTTCAACGCAAGATATCTGCGCTCACGGCTTCGCCCGCAACGAAGGCGGTTGATAAGGTCCACAGTTTCTTGTATGGAAAGACTGAGATGCAAGGAATCAGCAAAGACTTGCTTCAGTGGACTGAAAGGTACCACGTTCGATTCGGTCTGCTTCCTTTTGGCCTGCAGACTCGGTTGCTGACGCAAGGGACCGATGAGAGTCTGCTTGGAGATATAAAAGCACTGCGAGTCTGCGAGAGACTTTCAGACGCCTGACAGACCGAAGTCGGAACACTATTTTGGATGGACTGCGCAAGTCAGAGCAGATGGTCACACTTCGTCCGGGAACGCCTTCTTCACGTATGTTTGCTACCATGAACCAGAAAACCGTCATAGTCGAGTTCAAGAAACACAATCTCGCCCGTTCAGTGGCGGACATGAACGGTTTCGAATACGACGTTGCTGCTCTAGCAGGTCTACTAAGTGGAACAGATCTACTCCTCTGCCGGATTCTAAAAGGAGAGGGCTATTTTTACATCAACTAAGTCACAGCGCCTTTGGTTTCATATACCAAGTCCCCAAGTTGGCGGTTATCCCAGACGACGCGACGGACACGACACTTCTTGATCTCATCGCGACTACAAGCCCAGCTCCCAACAAGCCAGGTGGAATTAAGCTCATCCCACCAAAGCATCCGCTCGAGCAGCGCTTCGAACTTGCGAGGAAGATCACGTCAGCTGTCATGTATGTGCATGTGATGCAGTACGTGCACAAATCTATCCAGACATCCAACATTGTCATGTTTGCAAAGAACGATGCATCTACAGCGAATACAGAACAGTTCCCTAAAGCCCTCGGCGAACCTTTTCTATGTGGTTTTGAGACATCGCGATATGATAGGGGCGCGAGCGACTATGGGCAGTACGATGTGGCTTGGGAATACGACATCTACCGACACCCCAAGCGTCAAGGCTTACATCCCGAGTCACGATATACCATGAACCACGACCTCTACAGTCTTGGAGTCGTGCTCCTTGAACTGGGTCTATGGAGACCGTTGAGAGTTATGGGGTTGAGAAACCCGGACAGTATCAGCGGGAGTGTTAAAGATCATCTGAAGAAGTTGGCCATAACAGGGCTGCCATGCATGATGGGAACCAAGTATCGGGATGTTGTGTTGTTTTGCTTGGACATCGATGGTGATGGCCAGATTAGTAACTCAACAGCTGTAGAAGAGGTGTTGAAGAAGGTTGAGGAAATGGCTATTGGCTTGCAATAGCAGACAATTGGTTCTATTATTTCCATAGCCTAAACTGTGCCTTTTCCCTCGAATTTAAGCTTAAAAACTCTAGCCCGTCAGGTTCGGACCGGAAATACGGGATAACATCAGAATGAAACCTCCGATCTCTTACATGTGGATACCCCATGACCTCAGACGACGTGTAATCTTACGGCTGCATGTCGTTGCGAGAAAAGCGAGGGGAACGAGAAATGCGAGATGTCGAAACTGGACGGACCAATCGGGCTTTTCGGGGAATGCGAGCTTATCAAGTTATCTACGCGTCGTTTAGCCCGTGCTGACGATGCCAAGATATACGCGTGTAGAATGAGAATGAGCTTCTTTGATGTCTTTCTTTGTATTATCATAAAGTGTCAAGGTTAGCTCGTATTTAGAGTTAAGCTATTATGTGTATTGATAAGCCAAATGGTCTTGTCTAAGAGTATTGTCTTGATATGAAGAGAGACTCTTGAATCGAAGGATCCAACGCCAAGCCAACGATTTGCACCTCGCTTATATTCTCAGGTCTTGGCTGTCCAACTGAGCCCTGCAATGTAATCAAATCCACAATTCCCATTCCCTCCCCGTAAATATCTGCGGAATATTCTCCATGGTCTCCCCCACGGAGCCCATGCTCCAGAAAATCAGCATCTTTTTATATCCGACTCACCCTCCAACATAACAAAAACAAAGTGGTTCCTTTAAACTTCTTTCCCAGATCGCGTCAAGATGTCCTACAACGGCACAAACTACCCCCCGCCGACTTACGAAACATGCAAAGACGGAATATCCGAACGATGCCCCGCTGAGCTGTCGCTTTATGGTGACACTTTTACGCTAGGCGCTTGTGTTTTCTTTGTCGTGGCGCATGCGCTGGCGCTTATACCACAACTTTACTTCGGTATCAAGGCGCGAACTTGGTCGTACACGCTATGGCTCGCGATCGGGACGATATTTGAACTCATCGGCTACAGCGGTCGTATCGTCATGAGTTCAAACCCCTGGGTCTACAACGCTTTCGTCATCCAACTCGTTCTTCTCATCCTCGGTCCGACACTAGTCGCTGCTGCTATCTCCATCACCTTCAAACATCTTGTGCTATGGTACGGTCGAGAGTATAGTTTCATCAAGCCTGTCTTGTATCCATGGGTTTTCGTCGGCACCGATTTCTTCTCTATTGTTATCCAAGCTGCTGGCGGCGGTGTTTCTTCTGCTGCCACTAATGGAGACAACAATGACCAGGGAATGCTTGATGTAGGATCGGGTCTTCTTGTTGCTGGTGTTGTCTTCCAGATGGCCAATATGATCTTCTGTGGTGGTCTGATGATGATTTATATCTGGAGGAGACACAAGGCTATCAAGAATGGTGCTGCTGTCAGGGCTGGTGATGAGACTGCTACGGAGAGTGAATCGTCTACCAACGGAAACGTCAAGGTCATCAGAGCAAGCGACAAGAAGACCAAGATCTTTGTCTATACTCTGACTGTTGCTTACATCGCCATTATCATACGTTGCATCTACCGGTAAGCCCCCTTCAGAGTTCAGATCTACCCTTTCCTCTTCGTACTAACACTGTCTAGTATTCCTGAAATGCAGATGGGTTGGGGCAGCACCCTCATGCAAAACGAAACAACCTTCTTGATTCTCGATGGCGCCATGATTCTCATTGCCGTATGGACTTTGACCATCTTCCATCCTTACTTCTTCTTTCCTTTCCTCGGCAAGAAGCACAAGAAGGAAATGGATGCTGAGAAGTCTCGAGCTGAGGGCCCAGATGCGCCTGTGATGGAGGAGAACACTCAGCGATAAACATCAGGCTTGAATTGGATTTTTGTATGTTTGGAGCACATGTGCATTGGAAGGACTTTCCATTTGGAATGGGATAGATGGCATACTTTAGCGCGGGATAGAATTTTTTTAGGATGGATTTATGGTCTGTCGAGTACAACGATCACATTGCATTACGGCTAATCTTCTTTGACCTAGGGATATACTGACAAGCCAACCATACGTCACTTGAAGCAGTAAATCACCCGAGTCATGGTGCAATCGAAGTTGATAACAAAGGGAATATATTAAGTTTAGATATCAGGACTCCTTAGTAGCTAAACAGTCCTCTCCATGCCCCATCTCCTCTTCAGCTCCCAAGCCGCCAAGCAGATGGCACCTACAACCCAACAATATCTCAACACCCTATGACACGAGAGTCCCACCGGAACCAAGTGCAACGGCGGGAATCCCTGGCATCAGTAGCTGGAGAGATCGATCTTGACCTTGTTATCGAAAGCCCACTGCTTGTACTTCTCAACTTCGCCCAATGCCCTAGCAGCCTCCTCCTCCGACTTGGCGGCCTCAGTATCAGCACGAGCCTTGGCATCCCGGATCTCCTTGTCCTTGGCCGCGTGGCTCTTAGCCGTCTCCTGCAGATCTTTGATCCTCTGCTGAGCGCGGGCAAGCTCATCCTGAAGGTCCTTGACGGAACCCTCAAGATCCCTCTTCTGGCCCTCGAGGGTGATGTTGGCCTTGGCGAGCTTCTCGTTCTCGTTGGTCTTGACTGTAATCTCGGCGCGGAGCTGGGCGATGGTAGTCTCGAGAGTGATGATGATCTTCTGGAGGTTGCTGATTGTGGCGCCTTGCTCGGCGATCTGGGCATCCTTTTGGGCGACCTCAGCCTGAAGCTTGGAGGACTGCTCTTGGGAGGCCTTGAGATCGGCACGAGTCTTCTCAAGAACCTTGAGAGCCTCGGCATCCTTGAGCTTGTCGTCAGAGATGACCTTGTTGAGTCTGGCAATCTCCTTCTGGTAACCTTCACCGTCCTTTAGGGCCTTGTCCAGAGCCTCTTGAAGCTTCTGAGCCTTGGCGACGGCGGCGTCGCGGTCAGTGGTGAGTTCACCCTTGGTCTTGTTGATGTTCTCGATCTCAATCTTGAGAGCCTTGATCTGCTCAAGGGAGAAGTGGTAATCGGCGTCGAGGGCAGCGAAGCGCTAAGAAATGTGAGCGTGTGTCGATAGATGGAGGAAATGGTTCAAGCGTACATCTCGAGCATACTTGGCTAGGTAACCGCACTGGTCGACGTATGCAGCAGTGTGTGCAAGGGTATCAAGGAGGTCCTTGGGGAACGGGAGAGGACACACGAGACGAGGGAGCGAAGCTTGGGGCTGGGGGAGATAGTGGTCACACTCGCTCTTGGTGGGAGCAGGAAAGGGAGGGTTGAAGTCACTGTTACAAAGTTAGCAAAACTCCCATATACTGAGTTGGATACATACTGAGAGTGAGTTGAGCGCTCAATGATGGCAGAGCGGATCATGTCACCAACATCCTCACTGTGGGCGCCCTCTGTGACCCAAACATCAAGCTGGTCCTTCTTACCGTCCCAAGTGCACTTGATATCATAGTAAGACTTGTAAGAGAACTTGACAGTATCAGTACCAAGCCCAGTAACATTCTTTTGAGTCTCGGCACGGAATGACGGCTCCTTCGTCTTGCCGTTGGAAGCCTTAGTCCACTGCCAAGTCGAAATAACAGGCTTTCCCTCTCCAAAGCCATCAGGGACAATGAAAATGGCCTGCTCATCCTTCGCAAAGCTCATCCACTTGAACTTTCCAGTCCAAATGCGAGTAGTGCCAGTGAGTTCCTTATCAGACTTCCACTCACGCTTGAGCGGCATGGGGTCACTGACACCGCCCTGGGGGTTTCTCATGACGATGCTGATGTTCTCATAGCCGCCCTTTGTGGTGACGGTGAAGCTGTACCAGGAGCCCTTGAGGACAAATGTCACGTCAGTGGCACTAGTCTGTGTGACTGAGTCGACGCTGATGGTCTGGAAGACGTTGCCGTTCTTGACGCCCTTGGCGTCGACGGTCCATTTCCAGAAGAGATAGACACTGTCGCCGACGCGGACTGGGCCGTTGGGGAGGACGACGACGAAGGTCTCGTTTATGGCGTACGTCCACCAGTTCATCTTTCCTTGGTAAACAAACATCTTGAATAGAGGTTATTGGGTTAAAGGGTAAGTGTTGTGTTGTAGAGTGAGTGAGTGAGTGAGTGATGACGGAGTGAATGAGATATCTCGAGGTGCAGGTTGATCTTTTATACATCTTCCCACTCTCTTCCATTCATTACCACATGCTTCTCTTCTATCTTTCTCCTCATGTACAAGACACTACATTGCTGATCGTGAACATCCTCTTCCATTGGAATGCACGCTCAAGGCATGTTGCAAGCTGATATCCCCTCCGTAGCCAATTGTCGTCTCATACAGCGACAGTCTTCTGCATGATTTTGCTAGTTCCAAGCTGCGGCTTAGCTAGCGGTCAATGCTCCAAGCTACAACCCCTCATTGGCAAGACATGGTCGATGTAATAGGAGAAGATTTGCATCTGAGCTGCAGCTGAGCTGAACCCTTGTTTATGACAGCGTTAGCTTAGTGATCAGCTACGCCACAAAAATGCCTCTCAGAGAAGACTGTCTCTCTCATACACCAGCAGCGGCAGTGAATAACCAGTCATTCATTTTGGAAGAGTTTTTGGTGTGAAGCATGTCTTATTGAGAGTCAAACACGACCCTGGGAAGTAGGTATCTCGAATGACCGATCGTCTTCGGGAGGTCAATCGGTCTGCATGTCTTATGCCCCCTCGCGCCAGCCCGTGTCTCGGACTTTCGTCACAGCAGCTACGTTACTTAGTCCTTACGGATCGCTGCGGCCCGAAGCGTTCCATAGTTAGGGCCAACAGTTTATAGTTTTGCTCCTCAGCATCGACAAACACGGCACAGCTACACTAAAAGCGCCGCCTACAATTGCACTGAAAATACGCGCTGCAGATGGACCGAAATGGCAATATAGGCTGGCTGAGGGTTCTCAATGAGGCCTACGAGCGGGGACATCTGCCGGACAGGCCGCGTCGTTACTGAGGGGGTGGCTGTCGTGGCTTGCAAGTCAGCTCATTATAGGTCAATTGGCAGAAGGAAACTGGATTATCATTGACCTCGAGAGACATATT